CCCTCAAACGGAAATAACACATTCTTAACTTCGTTTTCAACAGTTTCAGCTATCTCTATAAATTTATAATCATGGCGGAATATAGAAAAAAATGTTGTTGCTGTTGCCTTTTGTTGAATTATTGCTAACCAAAAACATCAGAAGCCGAACATGAAAACCGGCAATATATATTCGCTGGTTCTCTTGTTCGCAACTTCTAATTCATTTAACTTAACATTTGTTTTATTACCTCTATTTTTTTCTCCATTTTCTCTTTTCTCTCTCTCCCCACTCTCCCTTACAGAGCATACATGCAAAGATTTCACCTGTGAATCGAATGGTTTTTGCATAAATCCCGATCTACTGTGCGATGGCATTAATCATTGCAGCGATAACTCCGACGAATCGGTGCATAATTTATGCCAAAGTAAGTAAAATACATACAAACACCCTCACACACAGAGAGACACCTCTACACCCACATTTTTACATACGTACACACACCCACATATATAATTTTTCCTCTATCGAAGTCAGTATATTATATCGTCATATATCACGGTGGGCCCTCCGTTCGTCGGGTAATTTTGTTAAATTTATTCCTTGTATCCTTCGTCTGCTGTACAATGGGTGACTTTGGCAAGGAAGTGATGATAACAGGCATGGGGTGATAGATATTGTCCGGCAATGTGTGGGTGGGCGGGGATTGGTCGTGCTGGGTAATATTTTAAATAACTCTGCTTGCTAACTGGTCGCTGTTTTGAGTCCAGTAATTTAGTTGGTAATGATTGTAGTAATGACCTGGCTGGGTAGGAATTGAATGTCCTTCTACACGCCAGGATGGCAACGTTCGGGGTAGGGGTAGGCCAGCTGATATCAATAATAATGATAGTAAATAGCCAACGTTGCGATTTATGACTCGGTAATTGAATGTGTTGCTGTGTTAATCTTATTACGGGTTGATAAATGTGGCGGTCGGTACACTGGGAGAAAACAGAAGGCGGGGATTTTTTAAATATGTTTTTTTTCAAAGCCTTACAGAAAGCCTGGATTTTTAAAAAGAAAATTTCTATGCCTTCTATAAGGCGTGGATTTTTAAAAAGAACATTTTCGGGGACTTCCATAAGGCGTGGATTTTTTAAATAATTTTTTTCGGAGACTTCCATAAGGCGTGGATTTTTTAAAAAAAATTTTCGGAGACTTTTATAAGGCGTGGATTTTTTAAATAATTTTTTTCGGGGACCTCCATAGGCGTGGATTTTTTAAATAATTTTTTTCGGGGACCTCCATAGGCGTGGATTTTTTAAATAATTTTTTTCGGGGACCTCCATAGGCGTGGATTTTTGAAATAATTTTTTTCGGGGACTTCCATAAGGCGTGGATTTTTTAAATAATTTTTTTCGGGGACCTCCATAGGCGTGGATTTTTGAAATAATTTTTTTCGGGGACTTCCATAAGGCGTGGATTTTTTAAATAATTTTTTTCGGGGACTTCCATAAGGCGTGGATTTTTTAAATAATTTTTTTCGGGGACCTCCATAGGCGTGGATTTTTTAAATAATTTTTTTCGGGGACCTCCATAGGCGTGGATTTTTTAAATAATTTTTTTCGGGGACCTCCATAGGCGTGGATTTTTTAAAGAATTTTTTTCGGAGACTTCCATAAGGCGTGGATTTTTTAAAGATTTTTTTTCGGAGACTTCCATAAGGTGTGGATTTTTTAAAGATTTTTTTTCGGGGACCTCCATAGGCGTGGATTTTTTAAATAATTTTTTTTCGGGGACCTCCAAGCTGCACACATCTGATTCACTGATATCCGCAATCTTATCGGACATCGTTGACAATTTGCCAAGCCGGTCTTCACTAACTGGCAATATTGCTTTCATTTGTGAAGGAAGTCGCTGCATCCACAACAGCTTCCAAATGTCCTTTGAAACCTTACCTTGAGGCAAACACCGCATTTCAGACAATAATTCTGAAGGCTTCTTGTCTCCACGTTCAACGTTCGTCAAAAGCTTCTTGAGACGCTTCTCCTCTGAATCCGAGAAACTACCAATAAGTTTTCCCTTAAGCGTGTCGTACATGTTTTTCGCAGGAGGATCGACGATGATGTTTGATTGCCTTCTCCAAAATACTGCTTTCAATCGATGCGACAATGGTATGGAATTTTGTCGAATCTTGCGTAGTCGGAACGGAGGAGGAACTTTCACAGCTTCTCGCGAAACTTCCATTGATGGTCCAGAATTTGTAGCGGTGTTTGCCATTAGTAGGTCTGACTTTAGTTGAAATTGTCAAAATGTGGATTGTAAGGCGGGGAATTTTTTAAATATATGTTTAGTTCCTCTAAGGACATACAAAAGTCGTAGATTTCATCGTCTAAATACTTCTCTAAGGCCTAATCAAACCCTGAACATGTTTTTCAAAAGCTGCAAGGGGCAGGAGTTTCCTTCTAAGGAGGGAGTGGAGTAGTTGGCGTCTTTCCAGGAAATTATGGTCATATTTTTCCATGTAGACATCGATCCGATTGAAATCGATGACATTGGAGATGTTCCTCCTGGTTGAACGTTTTCAGATTCCGTTGTTATCCAATCTGGTCCTTATTCCCATGCATTATTCCAATGTATTCATTTTCCATATCATAATCTTTTCCATTTGGGCTGACTATTGTCTGTCCACACATCAAAAGAGTAGGTGATTATGGATCGTATCACTTGCTTCTATATCAGCGAAATTGCCTCCGAAGAAAGTCCCATTCGTAATCCAGTCTGGGCCTCATTCCGGCGAATATTGCCAGACGTTGTTCAGTAATTTTACCTCCGAAGAAAGTCCTTCTCGTATTCGAAGAAGCGTTTGATGGGCTAAGTTCATTTTTTCGGCCTTCGATGCAATAGTCGATCCGGTTGAAATCGATGGCATTGTAGATGTTCCTGTTTGGGTAAGCGTCTACAATTTCCGTTTTCATCCAGTATGGCCCTCATTGCCATGCATGATGCCTATATATTTTTTTCGCACATTCTAATCCTTTCCATTTTGATCTGTCGATGGGGGTCATTGCTTTGCTTATTTTTGATCGCTTTTGCTTATTTTGGGTTAAGACCTATACTTACTTTTGATGACAAGAAGCGCGGGGGAATAAATAATTGCAATAAATCTGCTTAGGTAATACTTGAACGGTCCCCATGCAGCAAAAGAGTAGGTTATGCTGGATTATATCACTTTCTTCTATATCAGTAAGAAAGACAAAATAAAGTCCTGCTTTTATTCGAAATAGCCTTTGGTAGTCGAAGTTTATTTTTATTGCCTTCCATAGCAGGATAGAATAATTTCGAGATACTTCATTCATTTAGAGATACTCCTATGTATTCATTTTCAACTTATATAGTTGGAATGTAGTTTGCGGAAGCTCTTTGCAGTAGTCTTGGGTTTGACCTTGAAAACCACCGATACACATTTTCCAACAATGAGTTTGAGTTCCGATTTGTTGAAGTAGTTGTGATGTGTTTCCATATACACATTCATCCTCTATTTTCTCAGTGCTTCCTAAGCGTTCTCCTATTGCCAGTAACACATCCTCAGAACATGATAGCATCAGTTATCAGAACCGGTCCCAGTAGTGATCCCTCAAATAGGGATATGTACATCGATTAATCGACCTTTTGTATTGAAAAATATCAAAGTCGAAGCCGACTTTTGATCTTTGAGGAAATCGCTAAGTCGGCTTTTCATGAAGTTTTCTGATCGAATCCGAACGTTAGCATTTTGTAAAGAGTGTCGTGCTACCATACTGTATCAAAGGCTTTGGCGAAGTCGAAGCCAGTTGCAATGGTTCCCTCATTCAATTTGAAACCTTCGATGACATATGTTGAGAACGCTGTCAGTTTATGAGTTGTTGAGTGCCTTGCTTGAAATCCAAAGTAAATGTCTCCAAGGATTCTCCTTTCCTCCAGAGCATGGTTGATGTGTGACAGAATAAAATGCTCCAGTAATTTCCCAAAGGGTGATAGTAGGGAAATTAGTATATAGCTTCCGCATAGAGTAGCATCAGCTCCAGATTTTTTACCTAAGGTTCTGAAGTGCTTTCCTCCAAATCTAAAGTAATAGTCACAAATGATACTCCTTTCGCCAATAACCCGTTTAATACGCAGAACAAAATCTTCCAGTGATTTCCCAAAGGGTGTTTGGAAAGGGGAAATTGGTATGTAGCTTCCGCATCTGTTCCAGATTTTGGCGTAATTTCCTTTTGGCCCAAATCTATTTATGAATAGATAACTTTAAATGCAAATACGTCAGGGTGAATTATGGCCGATTGATCAAGATATTATCTGAAAGTATAGAAGGAGAAAATTAATTACACGTTTTTATTTTTTTCTCTTTAAAACCTGAAGGCAGGCCCTCCTCTAGCTAGTCCACTTTTTATTAGAATATAAGGTATAGGACCATACACCATATGTAACGAGATTTTTTATATTTTTCGCTAAGTTCGATAGATACAACACGAGGCAATTTAAGCGAAAGCTTGACACAGCGCCATTTTGTAATTTTTTAAGCCGTTCGAAGACGACACTTTTATTATGGTGCGACACACTTTATAGGGAAGCACCCAGCCTACCGAACTAATTTTTTTCGAAGCCCTCTAATGTGTTAATAGAATATTTGTTCTGTTTAGAGTTGTATCCTTCCAGAGCAAATCATCATCATTGGAACTATTCCAATAAAGGAACGATAGGAACTAGGTTCAGTTCTTAAGTTCCTTTTTGTGAACTCCTTCTTTAATTCAATATATTTTTTATTCGTTGTTAATTAAAGAAATAATAAAAAATATTAAAATTATTAATGGTAATAAAGTAAATAATTATTAAATACAATATAAATAATTTGATTTAAAATAATTTGATTTATTATTTTTCTTTTTTATTTTTAATCACTTATTTTGCTTATAATTTATTTTCATTTATTTCATTCATTTATTTTTATAATTTGTTTCTTATTATTTTATTTCGTTTTTTTTTACAGACATAGTAGAAAATTAGCCATAGCTGCAGGAAGAAGAACATTTCAATTAATTCTGGCATTTTTTTAAATAAAATACCCTATTTATATTGTCACTTCCTTTGAATAAATGCCAAGTGAAAAAGACTGAATATCAACTGAAGTATATTTACATGCTCAAGAATTTACTATTTTTTTTTTTATTTTGTTCAAAAATAAACCAATAAATATATTTCTTTCAAGGTCTTGTTTTACTTAATTTTACCCCTCATGTTGTATCTTGGATAAATAGGTACTCCCTTTAGCCCAGCTGACTATGCAATTAACTGTCAAAGTGCATAGTTGAATTTATGGCACAATAAATAGGTAGTCCATTTAGCACAGCTGATGACTCGATTAACTGTCAAAGTGGGTAATTTCTACTTGAATTCGATGTGCAA